TGAAAAAAGTTTTTTTGGCTCTAAACGTCTACGTCATATTTCTAAAAAAACAGTTTCTTCTGAAATATGCCCTTTTTGATTCGAAGAAGGTTTTCATTTGTTCATTCTTTAGGAATATCGGCTCCCATGGACAATACTTCCGTTGCGAATTTACAATGTCCTACCCCAAAAACAACTAGATGACACTATATACAATGATTTCTTTCTCACCCAGTGATGTTATTAGACTTCAGAGCTTTATTACGATAAACTGGTTGAAGGAACAACCCCATTTACGAACAAATCTTCCTAATACTTCTGAGGGTTGCCTGTAGGGGAGATATCAATTAATGATTGGGAAGATTTCAGGTATCTTTCGATAAATAATTCCAAAGGTAAATTGAATGAAATAATTCATGGGATAACGTAATCAAACTTCACTACTACACCTATGAAAATTTCTGAATAACTTCAAACACTCTTCACGTACATCTTTCGGAGGATGCTGTAAACCCATTATTCGATAACAAAGAAATACTATTTGTGGTTCTGCAGCTTCAACTTGTTTATCATTTTCTACTTGGCGATCTTCCTGCATTATTTCAATATTATCGAGATAAACTAGTTTCGGGAAATATTTCAAAACAGTGCTTTTGTAGTTTGGGACCACCTGAAAAAAATTTCAAGAACAATATACGAATTATTTCAATGTCTCAATTGTTTTTCGAAGCAGTCGTATTTTGACCTAAACCATTAAAATTTTTATTTGTGAAAGGTTAAAATCCTACAAACTTCAATAAAAAAACTCTGATACAGTGACACGTATGATTCAAGAATAACTTTACTCAGAGGTTCATTTCTGTCAGTTTTATCGCTGTTCGAGAGAAGCATATTGGCTGTAAAACTCTTTTTGGTGGTTTAAGCTTCAATTTCTTCATCATTTTCAAACTTCTTGAAGTATCATGCCTACCTACTGTGATCTATATGAATTCAGTTAATGTTCGAATCTCCATCTAGTAAAGATTGAAGGAATTTAAGAGATGAATCAATGAGAGTACAACTTGACATGTTCAAAAAACTTTAAAATTGACGAAATAATGGAAGAGTATTATAGGAATTCAACCCCTTACATTTACCTCATCAGTATTTACTGTTAGCGACATCTAGTTGCCACATCTGTAACTTTGTTTTTATTCAAAGGCATTTCTATCAAAGTTCTTTGAATAGAATTTCAAACAACACCATTCAATCATCGCAAAATGTAGAGAAACCCTGGTCATTGTCTGAGGATTTCCTTAGACAATGCGCTCGTATTTAACGGATTTGCTTTTGTTTTATCAAATACTCCCCACTCAAGAACTACGAATGACCCAACTTTGTATATTCGTTGATAGATGGTGCAACAATCGAAATCCGTGGCACGTATTTTGTTCAGATATTTAATTGATGGACTTTAATGTAAAAAAATCGCAATATATTATTCATCCACAAATAAAAACAATATTGAGCTTGACATTGTAGAGCTGTGTCACATGAGTACCACGTCGATGAATGTAAAATTCATTGAATCTGCTTATTATTGTCATCAAAAGTGATTACACTGTATAAAAATATACATCTTGCGTTCGTCAGTATATTGTCCTGACATCTAGTGGTAACTTAACGTAACAATAATCACACTATTGTTTGAAGATAACCTTCAAACAACGATTCAACCGCAATGATTCAACATAGCTGTTAGATAGTTTCGTATATAGAGTATCCTATATACAAAGTCGATAGTCCTACCACGATATAACATAGAACTTACATAACATGGATTCCCCTCCAATTGTAGAGCTCTCAATCCCATCATTCCTCTGAGTTCTGCGAGTACGGAACGTAGATTATAGATGTCGTTCTCAGACAAATCTAAACTACTCAGCTTCGAGAAGTTGTTACTCCCAGCCAACAGGTGGTAGGAGCTGTCTGTAAAGATAATTTCAAGAATTCACAATACTACATATTTTGAATGGAAGTATTTTTTAATATGTTGTATAATAGATGAAAAAATCCATTTAGCGTTCCACTTCTCCAGTACGTCTGAAATGACTAATTTCCCCTATTGATATTGGATTGAATTGAATATTTTTTCCAGTTTATACCTAAACATCATTTTCAGAAAATTTATTTCATGGAAAAAACAGAACCAACTGAAGAACATTTAGTTCCTGAGAATCTCAAAGTTTTCCCAAGAAAAAAGGTACTTCACTCATTTTCAAAACACTATTTCAAATTATTTCGATAACGATTTACCCAACTTCCTGTATACATTTTAAAATTTGACGTTGTAGAACACAAATTTCCAATTCTATACATTTTAGTTGAGAAATGAAAATAATATTTCGCAAATTTCCATAAATTTCCAAATCATAATTAAAATCATCTACGAGCTGAAGATTAACGAAGCCATATATTTCAACGTGCGATACCTATTACGAAATAGATACCTAGATGTTCAACAAAGGACATTTATTTTCGAACGTATTTATATATTTTCGAAATGAATGTCTATTTTTAATTTGGCGATATATTTATAGAAAACCAAGCATTTGAATAGTTTTCTAACGATTTTTGATAATTACCTTTATACAGATTTGTTTAGCTTCTGTTCCTGAAATACATATTTAACTTTTTGGTTTCCATTGATTTCTCAATTCACCGTTCTCTTTCCAGAGCCGATTTAAAATTTTGATTCCGAGCCAGGCATTTGGTTCAGACATGCACTCTGGATGTCATATAAATAATATCAACATTATTAATAGTAGTTGGACATTAGACCGAACACACGACACATGATTAATCGTTGATAAGCAAAAAGCTCATGATTGTTTTATTATTCCGACCAATTATTACGGTCATTTGAAAACACGATCAATTCCGTAATTTTTAGTTTTCGAGCAGGATATTGCTATTACGTGAAGCTTTCAAGGGGATTGGTTAGATATGTGGATATATTCATAATATAACTATACAATTGTCGAATGATGAACTTTTTCTATCGTCGTTTGATTTCAAGTCACTATATATTTGATATTTAATTACATACCTAAATCAGAAATTTCTGTATTTCATCACAATCAACAAATGCCTTTTTAGGCAATAAACATTTTTTCAAGAAACAATTTTGTTTTTTATCGACCTTTTTTTGGGTATTTGTTACCTTCCACAATCTGAAAAGAAAAAAAAATTATAATGGAGGACTTGATTTAGTTGTGTTAAGGCAAAATAGTTAGTACACTCTGCTGAGTGACTATTTGATTTAAAAGTATTTTCACAAAGATCAATTGATTTTTTTCTATTTCGAGAACGGAGACTGTTGTTGTGATAAGCATTTGTTAAATTTCGTAGTTCGTCAATAGGCAAAATGATTGAATATAATATTAATAATAATAATGATAATGAACGATTTCACTGGTAGAATCACAATTACAATAGCGAAGAAGTAGCGTCAGAGGAAATCATCTACCAAAGATCAGAGTTAACGACGATGAGGGGTGGGACAAGTGCTTTACAGGGTGCGACAACTCAACCTATCACAGATAAAGCAAACAAGTAAATTCACGTGACAAATTACAGATAAAAAGAACATTTGTTAAAAATACTTCAAATCTATGCAGTAACTTATAGGGGTGACTTCGATTTCAAAGAGCCGGATCAACTGATCAGTTTCGACGTGGAAAGCCTCTACACCAAAGTTCCTGTCACAGAAGCACTTCAAATCATACAGAAGAAGCTATCCGAAGATGGTGACCTGAAAGATAGAACAAACTTACCGATACAAGTAATGTGGAATTACTAGGATGAATTACTGAATTACCAGGATGCTGAATTCTCGTGGATCGCCACTTTCACCGGTTATAGCCAATAAATATATGGAGTGGTTTGAAACTCCGACCATTGAAGAAGCCCACGAGAAGCCCCGAGTCTGGTTGAGATACTTAAACGACACCTTCATAATATGGAACCATGGAAATTCAGAACTAGACACTTTCTTGAAGCACATCAACAACGTAGGTTCTTCCATCACTTTCACAATGGAGAAAGAAGTCCACAACGAATTGCCTTTCTTAGACGTATTAGTGAAGAAGACCGACACTAAATGGGAAACATCTGTATATCGAAAACCCACTCACACAGGAAAGGATCTGAACCACAAATCCAATCACCATCAATCGACTAAGAGAAGAACCATCAAGACTCTACTAGACCGTGCTTTCGGGCTCTGTAATACAAAGGAAGGTCTCGAAAAGGAACTAGGCATCATCAAAATGACCTTCAACGGAATGGTTACTCCAGAGTGATGGTAAAACTTTAGCAAGAAGACAGCAAGAGCTCCACAAGGAAGAGGAACATCAAAACTGTTACGATCTTCCTCTTGAAGATAATCACTTGGTGATCGAAACACGTGTCCAGGTGTTAAAATAACGGTTTGTTGTTGGTAAAAAAACTCCAGTAATATCCATTACTTCAATAATTATAAAATTCATTGATGCAATTTTTTCTATTCACAATATGACAACCTGTATAGGCCGCATCGGACTTCCGATGAATTATTAAATTCGGGTCCATAAAAATTGAGAAGTTCATTTTCCGGAAACCATCGAGTCGAGCCGGACTGGACGTTTACATTATTAAGATCCCGTCTAGGGAATGGATGCGGGCCTGGGGGAAAAATTACTTCGTCTGAAACTTTTACGTTTCCTCATTCACGAAAAGCTTGTACTTTCCGGACGATTGATACTGAAATAATAACGGTATTGCCCTACAGAAGATCTTTTTCTGCTGTCAACGAGAATGTCTCCTCGTAACTGTATCTACCGACTAAACATTATTCTGTCGCCACCTCACCTGTTGAAATAATTAACGCAAGAAATAAACATAGTTCCTTCATAATCTGTTGCAATTTTGAGATTCGGATACACCAGTCGTATTGTTCTCAAAGCTGTCTCTCTCTAGAGAGATGCAAAATCCAAAATGATTGATCAGTTATATGCATTATCATCAAACCTGCAATAACGTTTGCATTGTCAAAAATACAGCGACCATTAGCTAAAATCTAGCTAAGAAGAATAATTGTCTTGCCTGACTGGTAATTATATAGACAAAGTATATGTTTCATACTACTTGTCTATAATGAAAAAAGCTGTATTTTAAGCCTTACGACTTCCTCAGAAGTGAGTACGGTTCCAGTTAATCCATATAGATACTTCAAAATCTCATGGAGTTGGCTAAACAAGGCTTGTCAGTGTATTTCTGTAAAGAACTTATAGCAAAACATTAAAAACTCATCCAATATGACGGCGGTCAGCAATTCTGGAAAATGATAGAAGTAGTAGAACAAATTTATGACTCTGGATCAACTAGATATTACTGCAAGATTATTTTCCTTAGCGAATGGTCGCTAAAAAAGATGTCAGTGAATGAAGTCGATTTTAGTTCATCTAAAGCTATAATTGATATTCACTGGAAATATTCTACCATTTTTATTGATACTCCCACTATTGAAAAAAAGTATCTGGCCCAAAAAAATGTATTCATTTTTCAACATAATCTCCTTACAGCTCTATACACTTTTTCCAGCGACGTTCAATAATTTCCATACCGTTTTTATAATAAGAACTCTCTTGCTCCACAAAATAGCCATTAACTGCCAACATTACTTCTTCATCTTTGGAAAATCTTCGACCACTAAACCATTTCTTCAAGTTTAGGAACAGAAAATATCGCGAGAGGACTGAAACTGGCGAATAGGGTGCTTGGGGTAGCAATTCAAACTTTAATTCGTTAATTTTCGTCACCATCTCTAAGTTAGGGCGGTGTTGTGTTGAAGAGCGTTTGTATGAGTGTATTAGTATGTTACCTATTTCGTACCTAGTTCGTAGGCTCACAAACAGATGGCGCTACTAGTATTCAAGATGAGACAAAAATAATGTGTCAAACTACCGACCAATAACTTTATTAACTCACTTGACGAAGGTTTTCGAAAAGATTCTTGAAAAACATTGCGAAATATAATCTACTTTCCGAAAAACAGTTCGGATTCAGAAAACAAAAATCAACTGAAGATGCTATATTGAAATAAATCCAAATGGTATCTGAGTCCATGAAGGAAAGTAAACCATGCTTATGTGTTTTCGTTGACCTTTCCAAGGCCTTCGATACGGTGAGTCATCAATTACTGCTTGGAACCCTACAAGATATTGGAGTCAGAAGTAATAGTTTGAAATCATTCAAATCTTATCTCCAACACAGACACCAATTCTTGAAGATGGGCGACAACTGCAGCAATCCCAGTACTATTCAGTATGGAGTACCTCAGGAAACAATTCTGGGACCACTTCTCTTCAATATTTACGTGAACGGTGTGTTTTTGCTAAAGGCAAGGGGGGATATCCTAGGTTTCGCTGATGATACATCCATTTTTCACAAAGGTAATTCTTGAGACTAACTTAGGGACATAGTTGCATGCGACTTTTATATAATTTGGAAATGGCTGAATCATGAATTACTCACAATTAATGATGATAAAACACACTTCCTACCATTTTGCTGCAATTGGACAACTTCCCCTAACTTCGATGAAATTCAAGTTAACATTCCAACAGAACAGTTCGTTAGTACACATAGATATGCATCTCAAGTGGAACATTCATATCCAATCTCTATGCCAAAAGCTGAGATTCATTTTCCACAAGTTTGAAGTCCTGGCATCCTCACTACCACTAAAGCAAGTAAAAACACTGTATTACGCCCTAGTTGAGAGCCATATTCGATACGGCTCATTAGTATGGGGTAGTGCCCTGAAAACTCATTTATATCCTATAGAGGTCCTCCAAAGACGGTTTTTAAAAATGATCTTAAAAAAAGAACCCACTTTTCCATCTGATGCTCTCTATGCGGAATCTCATGTATTTGATGTCTACCAA